GGTAGGGGCCGCACAAGAGGAACAACCCCCCCCCCACACACACACACACACACACACGGATCCAAGTGGAAAGACTAGAGGAAGGCCAACGGGGCACTTTAACCGCTCCCACACGCACAGAGGCGGAATGGGGAAAGGGTAGGTTCAGAGTGATGACCATTTCCTTCCCCAGCACCCTGAAGAACAGGCACAGAGAAACGGCAGAGAAAGCCCCCACCCCAATTATTACCTTGGAAAAACCTAATCGTGGTCTAGACGGATCCAAGTGGAAAGACTAGAGGAAGGCCAACGGGGCACTTTAACCGCTCCCACACGCACAGAGGCGGAATGGGGAAAGGGTAGGTTCAGAGTGATGACCATTTCCTTCCCCAGCACCCTGAAGAACAGGCACAGAGAAACGGCAGAGAAAGCCCCCACCCCAATTATTACCTTGGAAAAACCTAATCGTGGTCTAGGTAGATGCCCTTTGGGGGAAAAAAAGTTTCCATTTAGCGCAGTGCAGCCTGGCCTCCCTACCACACTGAAAGATGCCAAGTCAATCCTGAAAATAATTTAAACCAGCCCAGTGCAGAAGTCACACACAATTACCATCCAATTTGCAATTCAATGCTGTATTTTAAAGAAAATCCCTCTAGAAAACCTCTGGTTTGAATTACCTAGATTCCAGGAAGCATAATTTCAACTCCCAGCAGTTCTGGTTCAATTTTTCAACTGTTCCAAGTAGATAAACAGAGATCCACACTGTTCATTGTGTGCTGGTCTAGTGAATGAGTTCATGAGGTACTGTTTGCTCTGAGGCAACCTCAGCAATGAACTTGCTAAATATTGCTCCACAATTCAGCTTGCCAGTGACAGACTAGTTTCTTCCTGTTCCTACATTTCCAGTACTTGTTTAACAAGTGCCAGTTTCTCATTGATTAAGAGTGTGTTTGGGGGGCAGGGGAGTTCTCTGATTTGAGCAGCCACATTATAGATTTGCAATATGTGAAAATCCAAAAAGGGATGAAGAACAGATGAAATACTAAATGTATTACTGGCAGACTCTGAGGATTCTTTTGCTTTCACTTGTAAAAGCTTTATTGGCAACAAAACACAAGACTCAACAATTTTTACTTTTTTCAGAATCTTATACACAAGGAATTGAACACTTTTTTTAGCTTGATTGAAAATAATTTCATTAAGAAGTCAACTGATTTCATTAACTGGTTCAATGCAATAAAAACATATTGTGGTTTTAAAACTCTTCTTTTTAGACTGATTATTGTAATTGTCCTTGCCCAAGTACTCTGTGATATGCCTAGAAAGCTTAAATAATTAAGGTCCCCATCCTGTAAAGACTTACACGTGAACTTAACTTTACACACTCAGAATAGACCCACTGAAGTCAATGGACTTATGCATATAAAATTAAGTGTGTGCAGGTTCAGAGTCTAACTCAGGGGTGGGCAAAGGGACCTTCACAGGCCAGATCCAGCCCACTGAATGGGTTGATCCGGCCTTTGACCGTCCTGCCACTCTCCTACCCCCAGGCCAATTGAGATCTGGAGACAGGGGAATACGCAAAGCTCCCCTACCCCCAGACCCTTCCCAGCAGCTGGGAGGCACAGGGAGAGGAGGCAAAGTGCCTCCCAAACTAAGGGAAAAGCCACCCTTCAGCCCCTCTCCTGATGCTTGTTTCCTTCCTTACTCCCTCCTCATTGGCTTGGGGGCGGAGGGAGCACAGAAAGTGTCACACTGCCAGGGGGGGCATGGTACCTAGAGAGAACTGCCAGCAGTTCAAAACAGCTGGCAGTTCTCAGTAGGCTCCAGGTTCCCCAGGCAGGGCAGGGGGCAAAGCCCAAAAAGGGCTAATCAGGGTCTGTGGGTGGGGGAGCACTTAAAGTCTCCTGGCCCAGTCTCTCTGCCTGAGGGCCCCCTCCCCACTTCCAGGGTGGCCAGTGACCACTTCTGAAATTCGCAAAGTGCCCCCCCCTTCAAAAATTATTGCCCACCCCTGGTCTAACTACACTACATATGTGGATTCTTTGTTAACACAGATAAATAGAGAGGTGAAGATCAACTAATTTCTTTTATTCTGATAAACATAAATATTTTAAATGGACTCATCTTTACATTGTTTGTTAACATTTGTACAACACATTGAAAATACATGCTATTATTTTCTAAAAGCTGATACTCTGTACTTCATAGCAATGGGTGGAAAAACCTGAAGTGGAAAAACTTGTTTTTAAAAAAATCTATCATGAATTTAGTGATGGTGAAATCTGACAGGTTGACCACTCTGAAACCTGTTTTTTCCCCTCTCTAATGAATAGAACATATGCTGCATGCACAAAGCATCTGCAGCAAGTTGGAGCTAAATAGCGTAAGCATGTATATAAAAGTTTAAAGATAAGTATATTGGTATGTGTTTCACAAAATCAGGGCCAAAATCTTTTTCATTAAAATAGTTAACAATGTTGACATTCATGTCATCATGATCATTAGTTTTCAGAATGAAGATGCTGCTGAGATGAATGGGACAATATGTAGCTTTGAGATATTGGCTGCGTCTAGATTGGCATGATTTTCTGGAAATGCTTTTCCTTTTTCTGTTAAAAGCATTTTCGAAACAGAGCGTCTAAATTGGCACGGACGCTTTTCCGCAAAAAAGCCTCGATTGCCATTTTCGCGATCGGGGCTTTTTTATGTGGAAAACGAATCTGAGCTGTCTACACTGGCCCTTTTGCGCAAAAGGGACTTTTGCCTGAACGAGAGCAGCATAGTATTTCCGCAAGAAGCACTGATTTCTTACAGTAGGAAGTCAGTGCTTTTGCGGAAATTCAAGCGGCCAGTGTAGACAGCTGGCAAGTTTTTCCAGGAAAGCAGCTGATTTTCTGGAAAAACTGGCCAGTCTAGACACAACCCTAATGTTTAGGCCATTTGCAAAATTCATGCTATCAAAAGTTATTTTCAGAGTCCATGAGATATATATATTTATTTGTGTGTATATTTGTAAATGAAAGTTGAGATTTTGGAGCACAATTGTATAAAAAAGAATAAATTCTATATCAAATTCAGTGGCTAGAGAACTGTGGAATGCACAGAGGGCATAAAGAGTGGTAGCAGCAGCGTAAGCTTCCCCTGCTTTGGTCAGTGATTGATAGAGAGAGAGAGAGAGCGAGATCTGAGCATGCATCCACTAGAAATTGAACAGAAAACCACATTGCACAGAAACTATTATACAGCATTTAAAGGGTTATTTTGTTGTGACTGGACTGGAATCAATGATCTAGAAGTGAAATATCAACATCCCAATGCTGCCAATCCAAACTATCCAATCTCTCCTTACAGTTTTCACAGTCTAAGTTGTAATAGTTAGGTAGCAATTAAAAAATGCAGAGCAAATCCTGTATAACATGTTGGTCATAGTAAATTAAAACTGGCAAATGCATGAGTTACTTTTCAAAAAGATAATTTAGCTCCCCCGGGGACCAAACTTTTCATGCACATACTAGATATTGACAATTAACATGGGAAAGATTTCAAAAAATAATAGCCGGTCACCTAGCTGCTAGGCTTTCAAGTAGTTATTTACTTGCACAGTTTAATACTATAATTCTTTTTAAAATGACGGGTTTTTTTAATGACAAAGCATCACAGAAATGCCCAAAGTGTTTTGTTTTTGCTTTTTGTTGCTTTTTTACTTCTCTTTCCTCATATTTTAACTACTGATTTACATGAGCTTAGAAGGCTATATGCTACTTTCATTTTGTGTACAGCTCTGACATTGATGTGAACACCACCTGCAGAACAAGGGGTATACACCCCAACTAATGAAACTGTGATGGTCCTAGTCTATCTTTTATTCTTTTCCCTAAAATACCATTTTGTTTTAATTTGCTTAATTTTGGTGTTATATTAAAATATATGATTTCCAAGTTTCCTCCACTTTTGATCTGCACAATGAGATCATTTGATTTGCCTCTATTCTTTCCTGAAATTTTGGTAGAAACTTTGGATTTGGAGTGGTAAAATATTTGTGTTCCCCACTGAGCTAAGGAAATATACATACTGTAATCTATCTTTATATATTATTGTGTAAAAAAACATGCGTTTATTATTGCAGTACTTCCTAGAGGTACAAATTAGCTGATTGATACACCTAATTTGTATTTCAATTTGTATTTGTATTTCCCCAGCAGGGCATTTTGTACTACAGTACACCACTTTAAAACCACTCACTCAGAATACCAGAAGACTAATAAAAATTAAAACCCGTTTTTTTTTCTGTATACTTAATTATATTTGGATTACCAGTCATGTGTCTTTGAAATATTCACATTGAATTAGTGACTGATCCGTTTAAAACTCTATATTAGAATAATTCATCTAAAATTGGTCTAAAATTACAAGAGTTGTACACTATAATTAATTTTCAGATTCACATTAAAGAACTCCGGGGCTGTGCATTATGGAAATATGAGACCTCCTAGCTGCTGCTGCTTGGGGAGGCAAGCTCCCCAAAGGTTATACTCCACCCTGCGCTGCATGTCCCCGCCCCCGCCCCCACTCAACCCAGGCCCAGACCTCTCCCCACTGTGTCCCTCTTCTCTTCCCTCCCACTCCCTGTCAAATCCCTGAACCCAAATGTAGCCAATGATATTTAAAAAAAACCCAAAACTCTCCAACAATTTCTTTGTAAAGAAAATGGGGCATGTTTTCCCCTGAATGCCAAATAGTGAAGACTGGACACACAGATGGTACCTCATTAAAAGCAATACATTTAAGGTACCTAATTAAAAAGAATAAATTTGGAACTAAAAAATGTCAGTCACTGTTTTTATACACACACACACACCCTAATTAAAAGCAATACTGCAAAATCTTGTTGTAAGAGAAAGTCAGTTTCCCAGGAAGCATATACTTATATAAGTGTATCCTCACAAATCTAGCATTTTGGATTGAATTCACCAAAACATAGTCCAACATAGAAATGCTGTGGCTGATGTTGTTTGACATGCCACCCACCATTTATTCCACTCCTCCATCCCCATGACCCTGAACCATTACCTCTTGCCACTGTGACCTCTGCGAGCAGTGTTGACATGTGGGGAGGCATGAAGGACCATGTGCCCCCTACACTGTGGCAAGGGGCCAACAGGCAGAGCCCTGGGGAGCCTGGCACAGCAGCAGGGGTCACCCCCTCACACTCATCAGGGGTGCGTGAAAGTAAAGCGACCTGGCCCCCAGCCAGCTCTGCTTCCCACCACCCAGGGCTGTGTGCTGATGGCCCCACAGCAATTTCTCAAAGTGGCTCCTGAGACACTTGGCTCCATTTTTCCGTGCCACGCCTGGCTGCTGCAGCGGCTGAGCCTACGGGCGGGCAATGAAACCCTTAGCTGGCAGCAGCAAATCTGCGGCTTCGATGCTGAAGCCGAGGCTCTGGCCCTTTTCTCGTGACCGCAATTTTAAAGCCCGGCTCCCCCATGGCCCCACAGCAATTTCTCAAAGTGGCTCCTGAGACACTTGGCTCCATTTTTCCGTGCCACGCCTGGCTGCTGCAGCGGCTGAGCCTACGGGCGGGCAATGAAACCCTTAGCTGGCAGCAGCAAATCTGCGGCTTCGATGCTGAAGCCGAGGCTCTGGCCCTTTTCTCGTGACCGCAATTTTAAAGCCCGGCTCCCCCAGCGCCGCAGACAACGCCGAGCCCGGCGGAGCCCCGCCCCGAGCAGCGCTGGCTCCTCCGGGCCCCGGGCGGCGCTGTAGCCAGCCGGAGGCAGCGCTGTGGGTAAAGCGCA